CCAACACTTGAACGTTGAAAATATTGACATCGTGACAAGAAGAAGGCAAAGACCAAGAAGATCGTTGAGTCTTGATAGTTATAGAGTCGTAAATAGGTCAGAAGAAAGCCTGTACTCATGCGGCCGTAGAAGTCTGAATGGTTGCCTTGCTCGTGGCCGAAAGCTATCCTTTACCGAAGGAGGGAGGCGGACCAATATAATTGCAACTTCCCTGGCAAGTTAAGTCTATATGGCCAGTTTCTACTCTTTCCAGCCGCTTCCGAAGCCTCCCCAACATGTGTGTATCTGCTTTTGTCTGTATTGTTCCAAGGGGTATCCATTGATTGTTCCACAACTGTCAACAACGTAATACAACTAGTCACAACTGAATTGAATGATCAATCAGTACTTTTGGGGGGACAAAATCGTGAAGGTAAATGTTTATGCCAAACTCAAGCGTTTAAGTTTGACTGAGCCTATCTCTGTGACCACATGCATGGCCCCTAGCCTAGGGCCATGGAAGAAATGTGTGTCAGTGAACAGGTTAGACGACATTTCGCAATTAGCTGTATCAGGCGTGGCATCAGAATTCATTCTGCTTATATTCATTTCCGTATTAATAGTTATACAATATCCTAAAACATGTGGAAGAAGCTGCTGACGTCAAGTTCTCGGATTCTCAGCTGGCAGAAGGGTTCGCCCGACTTAAAGAAGGTGACGGCTGCAGTACCGGCAGTTATCGCAAGATGGCAGCATTCCGAGCTCGAGTCAGTCCATGGGCAAGGTCCAGTGTCATATGGGAGTCACGGTGAGAAGTTCCTTCCTTACGCCTGAGTGTGGGGTAAATATTTTGCCTCGGAACGGGTGAAAGAGCCTGATTTGTGATAGTGTGTGTGACTGTGAGCGCACATGTGATTATATATATGTGTGTGTGTGTGTGTGTGTGTGTGTGTGTGTGTGTGTGTGTGTGTGTGTGTGTGTGTGTGTGTGTGTGTGTGTGTGTGTGTGTGTGTGTGTGTGTGTGTGTGTGTGTGTGTGTGTGTGTGTGTTTGTGTGTGTGTGTGTGTGTACTTGTATGAGTGAATGAGAGAGACTATATATAGACAAACTAAAAGCTGAGACAGAGATACAGAGAGATAAGGTAGACTAGACATGCTAGAGATTTATTGGAAATTTTCCTTGTTGTATGTACAACGTACAGGGTCCCCGTCGGAGCGTCTGATGCCTCGGCTCCTCGACATACGAAACGGACAGAAGGTACCTTCAGTTCTACATATAGCACAAAGTGGTTCTATGGACTTTTATTAGGCTAAGGTACCCAAGATACAAAGTAGGACCACTTTGTCCCACCTTGACATTATCACATCATACGTTACAATGATTAGAAGACATCAAGGTAGTATCCACCAGACCTATTTTGCAAGCTGAATAAAGAGAAGGTATCCGGCCATCGACGATCAAATTGGCCAATTTGATCGTCGATGGCCGGCTACATTCTCTCGTCAATTAATACCCTTTTTAGGCCGATTTCTACGATTTACTCAGCCTGCAAAAGAAGTCTGGTGGAGACCAGGGTATAATTTGATGGTACTAGACTATTATGTACACGGTGGGCTGCTACGAGACGATTTTTTTATCCAGGTTTCTCCCCCCGGACTACTGACACTCATGACCGAGTCCTGTCCTTCCAACAGGTCCAGCCGACCTTCTCGGTGGAGGAACTCCAGCGGAGACTCAACCTGCTGCGTACCTTCATGATCAGCAACGAAGTAGACGCCGTCCTCTTCACATCCTACCATAACATCAACTACTACAGCGACTTTATGTACAACTCATTCGGCAGGGACTACGGGCTGGTCGTCACCATGGACAAAGTGCTCACCATATCCGCAAGTACGCAACCGTTCGCTGTCAAAAGAAATTTTAAAACATGCTATGAGAAAGTGGAAATTGTATTTTTTTTTCACAATCCGGTCGGACTGAAACTTTCTATTTTGCACACTGATATCATTTTCCATTTGAAACATCGTAGAGGTTGACGGCGGCCAACCCTGGAGAAGGACGCAGATCGGGGACAACGTCGTCTACACCGACTGGCAGCCAGACAACTTCTACCACGCGGTCCGAGTGGAGCTAGCGGGGCGAGGCTTCAGGACGCTGGGCGTGGAGCTCGACCACTTGTCACAGGACCGTTTCGCCAGGCTGCAGCTCGCCGTCCCCGACATGCAGATAACAGACATAGGGAAGGCCTCCATGCCATTACGCGTAAAGAAATCGGACGAGGAAATCGCGCTTATCAAGTGCGTATGTTCAACATGTTCCTGCTATATACCGACATGCTTGTTGTAGATATTCATTCGGCCGCTGTCTACTTAATCTGACTGCTGTATTGCTGAAACATTTAAATAGAACTTCATTGTGTCTACATAAGAACTCTGTCTTGGGACCTATTCGGTCAAAACAATGTATCCTAAAACTATTGAGTTTAGTATACATGGTTGGAGAAAAACTTTTCAAACGGTTAATCCCAAAGCTTCTTGAAATAAGTTAGAATCGACTTTGACGGATGTTTAATTTTTTGCTCTCTTTCCTTCCTTCTTACTTTCTCTCTCTCTTTTAAATTCTCTCTATTTCTCTATCTCTCTCTCACACACACATCCCTCTATCTATGGTCCACTTCCTGCCGTGATTGGAGCAGAGAAGGCGCCCGAATTGCGGACCTGGGCGGCTGGGCTGTAGTGGAGGCGCTTGAAGAGGGCGTGCCTGAGTACGAGCTGGCGATCCACGCTGCCAACGCCATGACGAGGGAAGTGGCCAGGACCTACCCGCACAGCGAACTCATGAATAGTCAGTACAGACTTCCTTATAAGGCTGTGTCACGTGGCTTCACGGCCGCCATTGTGGCTGGTTACACCTGGAAGGATCAGAATTTTGTCATATGACTGTATATACATTATGCAAATACAATATTTACTTACAATTGTTATATTTTCTGTTGCCTTCATATGTTTTATTCTCAATGATCTATACACAATCCTTTTCTTGAATGCGGAATAACCCGGTGGTCACAATTTTTTTTTATTTGTGGTACAAATGCCACAGTGTCATCCATCTTTGTCTCAGTATTTGTCCCATTTTTTTCTGCAATATAAGGCCACACGTGTAAACATCTGCAGGCCCCCAAACTTGTGCGCGCGGGCGAATAAAAAAAATTCCGAACAAAAATAAAAAAATGCTACTAAACCACAGGAATACAAAGCTTGTATCCTAAATTTGCGGCAGTACATAGCGTATACAGGTTTACGGCAAGCAGGCAAATACTGGCTTTTTGCGGAATTTATGAATCGGCACTGTACGTATTTTACGAGTTCTTGAGTCGTGGAACTTCGGTAGTCTGGGTATATTCGTATTCTTGATAACCACCATAGACTACCGCGTACCGAGGCCTAGAGCGTTGGGCTCGGAGGATGTGATTTTTGTTTTGAGAACAGGCAAAAATCAATACGCGTGTGGCTGTCATCCATAAAATTAGTTCCTTTTCTCCTCCAGCCTGGGCCTGGGTTCAGTCAGGGATCAACACTGACGGGGGACACAACCCTCTGACGTCACGGCGCGTGCGCAGTGGGGACATCTTGTCAGTGAACACCTTCCCAATGATTGCTGGGTATGACTTGAAATATTTTCACGTTCTCAACATTTTAGCATAGTTGATATGACGTTTTAACATTTTAACAAGCGATTTGGATTGGCCTGGGAAGACATTTTTAGCTGATACCGGGGGTATTATATTTGGGTTAAAGTAGACCTTAGGCCATACCAATTTAATTTGTTGTTTCTCGGATTCGCCAAGTCCATTTTATTCGGTTTTGAAAAAAAAATAGATTTTAGGTTCCGAATCAACTGCAAAATGCTCAATGAAAGACGTTAAGGTTTGTGTAAAGTTAATGTAACAATACAAATTCTTTTCATTTAAAGTTCAAAATCCACACAATGTATTGTTTTAATTATAAACCAGCCTGGCATGTTGACTTCATGGCTCATATCGTAACATTTCCAGCCTTCATGGGGTGCCTTGGCCTGTTTTTTTTCCTTGTCTCTTCATATTTTTTCTGAAGAAAAAATCCTACAAACAACAAATTAAATTGGTGTAGCCTTACAGGCTTGGCTATAGAGTGTTTGTACTATTGACTATGGTTGTTACTATGACTATAATGCACGCATAATCAGATCATATCCATGGGCGGTCAAATTTAATCATTGACATTTTATACAAACTGTTGATATGAACTAAATCCTGTTGTCCTTACATCCCAGGTACTACGCCGCCCTGGAGAGGACCATGTTCCTGAACCACGCCTCAGACGCTCACCTCGCTCTCTGGGAGATCAACTGTCAGGTAAGACTAGCCTCTACCAGGCACCGCAGATCGCTGGAAAAATAGTAGAAATTGGCTTAAATAAAGGGATAGTATACCAGAGAAGATCTCGGGTCGCGAATTGGATCTTCTATGGCCCGGGATCTTCTCTGGTATACTACCCCTTTATTTCGGACAATTTCTACTATTTTTCCAGCGATCTGCGGTGCCTGGTAGAGCCTATGGTAAGACTCTTCAAGTTCTTAAAGTTCTTTACAGAAACGTCGATGAAGGTTAGACATCTAGGTAATAAGATACGCCAAAAAGCAGTTACTCAAGCAACTGGATATGATTTTGGAAACGGTCAGACGTCCACTACCTTTCGTCAGTGACACTAAGAGACCTTGCATTATCCTTCTCTATGACTTGTCTAGCTTTTGTTTCCTTTTAGACTAAAAAAATGGCTTTACTTATTTGTATATCAATCAATAGTTCGTGCTTGCTTATAAACTTGTATTTGTCCTCTGGTCTCTTAGTGTTGCTTGTGTAACTGCTTTTTGGCGTTTTTTACGGAAAGTTTAAACGGATAGCGTGAATGAAGACTGGGAAACCCGAATAACGTTGAAACTGATCATTGGTTACATTCTGGGAAACATGATCTATGTGAATATCTCTTTGCGCATTTATGTAATAGTTGCCGTAGCTAACAGCGATTACAAAAGTTGATCTCTAAGTTTTAAACTATGCTGAGTCTCACTTGTCTGTACTGTTCCCACCGCTGTGACTCCAGGTCCACCGGCGGGGCCTGGAGCTGGTCCGCCCGGGAGTGCGCTGCTGTGACATTGCCACCGAGCTGAACGAGATGTACCGGCAACACGGGCTGCTGCAGTACCATACCTTCGGCTACGGTCACTCATTCGGCACCTTGTGTCACTACTTCGGCAGGGAATCTGGTCAGATGTTCTTCTCTTTTTTTCCTTCAAATGTTCCGTTGGGATTGAAATTCGGAATTTTCCTTTGTCGTGGGAGACTGAAATTTGGAAGTAATGATGCAAAATTTTAAAATGAGCATATGATTGTCAAATGCACAACTATATGATTTTCTTTATGAATAGTATGTGGTCACGCGTTTTTAATCCATTTGCTGTATTAAAATGATGAAATCTTAGGTAACTGTATGAAGGATGACTTTCAAGTTCACGTGTTTGCTTAAACGGGCGCATTGGAATTTGTGCAATTCGTAGCTTGAACTCCGAATTAAGTGTGTCTCTGGATGTTCTTCTTTCCGTTCTTGTTCCCAGAGGTGGAGCTGCGTGAAGACGTCACCACCGTTCTCGAGCCCGGGATGGTCATCTCCATGGAGCCGATGATCATGATCCCCGAGGGCATGCCGGGATCGGGGGCGTACCGGGATCACGACATCCTGGTGGTGACGGAGGACGGGACGGAGGACATCACAGGCTTCCCGTCCGGTCCTGAGCACAACATCATCAAGAAGACTTAGCCAAGCCTGCTGTATTTTTAGAAGGCTCCTAAAAAGAATGTAAACAAATAACATGACCGCGATCCGCGCTAGCAGTTTTCAGTTGGCAGTTTTCCAACACTTTTTATTGCGGTGCAACAACGTTGATCTTTTACTACCCAAATGTCATTATGAACCCAGGTAGGCTTACTGTGCAAGAAAATATGTAAAACACCAAAGTTTAAATAAGTAAAAATCTTACATAACATCGCTTTAACAGTTGCCAAAACGATAAAAACTGCATGGTCGTTGTGAAACATCAGATCAGCAAGTTGAACACAAGAAATTGTTTCTGAAGCAGCTCGATAGATTTCATGTCAGATGTTTGAAGTAGCATCCATTACGTTTCATCAGTATAGTCCCATTACTTGTCAATTTATGTAGTAAGCAAACACTAAGCACAACAACTGTCCGTAGAAAGACGTGCTACAGCGTGAAGTAAAGCAATTGATCTGTGTTATAAAGAAGGTTTCCAATGATACATTAAGTTAGTACAATGTAAATGTAAATTTGATGAACTTAGAGATATGATCGACCAAATTCAAGTTTCCTTTGTGCCAGATCGTTTTGATATCGGCGTTTGAAAGAAATCAATTCGCAGAACCATCTTTATAAGGGACAGTGGTGACGGCGGGTAACATCAGCTATATACATATATAGGTGCTTTGTTAATCTCTCTATATATCGTATAAAAGACTTTAGGAGCTGTTTTTTACAGCGGGTCTGAATGGGGGTCGGGGCATTACAAATTAAACAATTTCAGTTAACACACTGAGTTACGAAACGTCTCTTCATAAAATCTAAAGCACTGCTCGCGGTATCGTAGGCTTACTAACGAATTCACCAACGTCACGATTATGTTTATGCTCCAAGCCAACCATTAGATTAGATTTCCTCCCTGCTTTGTGCAAAGGCCGGCCCCACGACATCGGTCAAAAGCAATTCCCTCGGGAATGCATTGACGGAATTTTTAGAATATTTTCAACTCGATCGCAGTACTATACTAAGGGCTCCGCCCCTAAGGCGTCGCCAAAAAACGACCACATGTTGTTTGACAATACTTTACTTGACATTCAGAGCCATGCATACATGTATGTATATCGATTGACATGTTATTCCCTGCTTGTAACGTTGCTAAGTTTGAATATACAACACGGATATCCTACATTTCCTGGTGTTCAACGTGCTTTGATATACAGGTAGTGTATGTGTGTGCCCATGGGACACGACATACGAGATATCGACGTCAACATGTACATGTCATAATATGTTTCGTCTCGCCGATTTTAAGTCTTCGGCCAAGAATTCTGCACACATTACAGTCGACTATACACATGTCATCTTCTGCAATATCTTCATGTTTCAGTCTTTCTTTCTGGGAGTTGTGTTTTGCTTCAATATCATGGAGTTACTATTATCAATACATGAGTGACAATAAATGTTTCTTACTGTGATCGTGGTATAAAAATGTTCTCGCAGGCAATTCGATAGAAACTTAGACTGCCAAAGTAGAAACGACTACGGTTAATTACTATCTAGTAAGCCTGGCTTGTTTCTATGAAAACACATCTCATTCATATGATCATCCATGTTGCTAGCTGCAAGCGGGCGCTCCTATTCGGATCTTCTGTCTTTTCTTTAGCTGTGCTTCCCTTAAAACTCCGTCATTTGACTCATTTGGTAACACTAGGGATTGCAAAACATATAGCTGTCTCCGTACCAGTGCAAATGGTCCGTATGTCGCAAATGTGTTAATAACATACTGCGCGAGATAAAATGGATATAATTAACCTCAAATCATATTTCCCTTTGCGTATGATACGTTATGGTCGGCGTAACTTTTCTACATGCCAGCTACCAGTGAAAATATATCCATACGTGCTAAATCCATTGACAGCAATACAAAAACCTGATAAAGCTAATATGCCACGTTAAATGACAAGATGTAACATTGCATATATGCACATTTCCTTTGAACATTGCACAACGTTGTTTACTATATTAC